GAAGAGCCAGACAGGTAGTTTAAACGTGGGTCGGGCACAGGGAACGTGAAGCACTTGTGGAGGAAAGGTTAGGAGGTGGTACAAAGGAGTGTTCCTCTGTTGCAGACAAGACAATATGCACAAAGTGATAAAGGCCACCCCTCCCCGTGAAACCAGGGACAATCAGGCGTGGCCCCAGGCTTCAGGGCTGCTGAGCGAGAGGCAGCTGAAGGGAGCAGTACGGTTCGGCCCCAGCGCAAATTTGCTGTGCAGGAGTTACTCCAGCGAAAGTGTTGGAAATCTGGATTTTTCTGTGACATTTCCTGATTATTAAATATTGGCAACTAATTAAAAATAATTTTTTTAAGAAAACATGCTGCAGGTAAAATATATTTGCAGGCTGGAGGTTTACAGGTTGTCACATAGAGAGAAGGGGGACAAACCCAGTTACTCACAAAACTCTCACTGCATGAGAAAGAAAGAAAAGAGCAAAGATTTTAAGAGATGACGCAAACGTCGATGAGGAAGGTGGCGAGAGGAACTATCAGTGCCCTGGAGATAAACTCCGGGGAATCTCAGGAATGGGAGGGCTCTGGGCACTTAGTCTCCGGTATCCAGATTTAGATCCAGATTTAGACGCATGGTCTTAGCTACCACGTGGCTCAGGTGCCCCGCTGGGCTGAGCAATGGCGCTGACTTGGAGAGTGTCCGGGAACATGAGCGTGGACCGTTGCCTCCTCTTATCCGCACGCACTGCAAGGGAGCAACCCGCCCCAGGAAAATGGGGACTTTCAGTTCCATGACTACCTCTCCATCTCAGCTTTATTTTCAAGTCATCTCCCGGCCACGCTGTTCTGAAGGGTCGTCAGATGAAGTATAGACCATGGTCAGACATCAGTCTCTCAAAACCAGAAATGCTGGCATCTCACCGGGGAGTAAGGAAACCCCACGGGCTGGCTTCTCTCCTCCTGGGCTCGCCTTCCTCCCTGCAGCCCCAGCCCTGCTCAGCCTCATCCTGACAGCTCAGGTGTCTGGCTGTGCTCGTCTGCTCTTCCCAGAGACACAGAGCTCGGAGGAGACACCCCAGCAGAGGGAGTTCTGAGCGGATTTTTAAACAGTCAGCTCACCATTTGAAAAGGGCCTTCATTCTTCCTTCCTCTTTTCAAACGACCATACAAATCAGTTTGCTTTGGGAGCTGGTTCTGTTTTGTTTTGTTTTGTTTCAAAGTATCGCCCAGTTCCTCTTCCCAGTGCGTTTTCTCAGGCTTTTTTTGTCATTTCAACTTTCGGTGGCCAAAACTGTAATTAAGATCCCACTTGCTATTCTGTGTCACATTTGTGGTCTTTTATGTCACTTAGACCTTACCTTGCAGCCAGACTAGAATCCATGGCAACTTTGCTACGGAACGTGGCAGTTTTAAAGTCAGTAATGTGTCACGAGGAAGCGAATGTTTAACCTTCTCTAGCTTGTTCTCGTCACTGCTGTGTTACTGTGCTTAAATGTTCTCCTCGGTAAGAATGTAATTGAGGACTTTGGAATTATTTTTTGGCATTTTTCCTGCTAACTCAGGTCAGCTCGTTTTCCTTTTCCTGTTGGCTAGGGGACTAACAAAAAGGTAGCACTTTCCACTAAGTTTCTTCTTTTGCCGCACAAACCACTAGGTGTTGTTTTAGCAAAAGGTCTGAATTTGGAGATTCTGAATATGAATGCCTTTTCTCAGTTAACAAACACCTAGAGAACAGAATTACATGAAAAAAATCTCTTCCTAGGAAAGACTTCCCTGCATTTATATTGATTTGAAATCTGCAATGAATTCATTCGTTCTTTAAAACACAGCTACTGAGTGCCTGCTGTGTGCCCGCCACTATTCTGAATGCCTGCGAACATGGCAGTGGGCAGGACAGGTGCACTTTCCCGTCTCCAAAGGGCTTGTGTTCTAGCACAGAGACAGAGACTGCACAAAATGTATGTAACCAGTAGGCGGTCAGTGCTCAGAGGAAAACGACAAAGCCAGGGAAGAGGAAGGGGAGCAGGCAGGCGTTCCACCTTAGACGCGGCTGTGTGTCGGGATGCAGGCTGGGGGAGAGCCGTGCAAGCCGCTGCGAGCCCCTGGCCTTTACTCCGAGTGATGTGCGGCGCCGCCGCAGGGCCCGGGCGCAGGAGTGAGGTGACTAGACTTAATGTGTTAAAAGGGCTACCTGGGCTGCTGTTGAGAGTAGACTGCAGGGAGGGATGGGACAGCGGAGTGGAATGCAAGCACGCAGACTGGGGCAGTGGCTGGTGAGTGCGTCCAGGAGAGAGAACGGCAGAAGGAGCCAAGGTGCCGCACGGGAGGTGTGTATTTAGTAAGAAAAGCCAACAGGATTTCCTGCAGCTTTGACACAGGTTGTGAGAGGAAGAAGAGCCAAGGGTGATTCCAAGGCTTTTAGCCCAAGCGAGTGGGAAGATGGGCTTGCGATTTGCTGAGAGCGGGAAAGCTGTGTGTGTTGCACAGGTTTTGGAGGGAAACTGGAGTTCGGTTTTGGACTTAATTTCGAGGTATCTATTAGAGGTCTGGTGGGAAAGACAAATAAGCAGTTAGAGACGCAAATTAGCGCTCAGGAGGGGGAACCATGCTGGAGCTGTAAAGGTGCAGTTGTTGGCGTGGAGAGGGAATTCAACGCTCTGTGATGGGATGAGCTCCTTGGAGGGAAGGCAGGAGAAGACAGTTTACCAAAGAGCAGGGACCGGTGAGCAGTGCTGCTGAGAAGTCAATTAAGGACCAAGAACTGCTTTAACAAAACGGAAGCTGTCAGTGTCCCGGGAAGCATCAATTTCAGTGATGCAATGGGAGTAAGATCGTGATTAGATTGAGCTGAAGAGAAAATGGAAAGAACTAAATCGGAGACAATGAATACAAACAATTCTTTTGAAATGTTTAGATGAAAAGGAGAGGGAAGTGGAGTGCCTCCTCCCACTTTCCTCTTCTTTTTCTGTTTCTCTAGATGGGTTGAACCCATTTCACTTCTTGGACCTGTTTAAACTCTCAGCCTTGGAGGCAGGAAGCACATGGTCTCCCTTCTTCATAGCTGAGGAAACCTAAATGCTGGGGACCAGGCTAGAAATGAGCAGGTGGAGGGAGGAGAGCAGTGTGGAGAGGATGGAACCAGGCAGGGAGTGTGGGGTAACTCTCCACAAGTCCTGACGTAACGTAAGGTCCAAAGGGGAAGGGAAATTGCCAGACTGCTGTACTTAGAAACAATATGGCGAAATTGAAACGAGAAAAACTAAGGGGGCATGTCTTAACCAACCACAATGAGGAGAAAGAAATGGACCTATGCCTTCTCAAATGGACTCAGGGAGAGATCAGATCAGGCTTGCCTGTCTGGCAATCCAGTGCTTCTTAATCGGTAGCCCTGGACTAAGCAGTCCCTTCACTGGGGAATTTTTTTTTAAAGCATAAACACCAAATTCAACCAGTTGAGAATCCGCACCATATTCTCTGCCTTCCTGCCTGCTACTCTTAGAGATGGACTTAGCCATGTTCTTGTCAGAAGCCAGCCCCTTCGCTTTTGCACCAGATCTCATCTAGTCTCAAATGAGAGCTCTGACAATTGACTCCGGCGTACTATGACTTCCCCCCTCCACAGGATGAGGACACTACTGCTTTACCACATGCCTGGGCTGAGCTCCGACTAGGATGTATATGAGCTCCCAGGTGTTACAATATTACGTTAGCTGTTGTATTTATAATCACAAGAGACTAAGAAATCTGGTCGCACTTACAATATGCGGACACACTTGGAATGGGTAACATTTACTGAGCAGAACCTTTGTTCTAGGCACTTGGCTAAGCCTTTTCCTATGTGATTGACTCCTTGGCCTCACAGTAACTGCAGAGATGTGCTATTGTGCCCATTCCAGAACCCGAGAGAGGTGAGAGAAAGAGAGAGGCTCAAATGATTTGAAATCCTGCAGCTCTCCACTCTCCAGCGTTACTGCAACTTTCCAAGCCGAATGTATTCCACGTGCACTTGTGTGTGGTTAAGCAGGTACACCCAGGTTCAACTCTGTCCCCCAGGGCTGTTCTTCACTCGATGGGGAGGAGTTCATCATGACATTATTCACGAGCTACCCCAGTGTACCTGGGGTCAATTTATAAAGCTTGATTTCTGTACAACTTTTCAAAAACATGTTTACAGATGAGTGAAATTCATATTGCTTACCACACGTCGGGCACACGACTAGGCGACAAACAACGGAACAGTGCAAATCACCCCTCCAAGGAGCTCAGGTTCTCCTCTAGCAGGAAAGTCAGTCGTTCACTCATTCAGTGAGCATTACCGAGTGCCTTAGGGCATGCCAGGTGCTGTAATTTAGTAAACACAAATCAGCGTAGAACTGTGACACTTGGTAGAAAGAGAGGCACGGGTAACGGCCTTTAGCTTCCGTGGTTCTGTTCGACGGCGCGTTGAGGTTTGGACCTCTGGAGCCGAGCTGCCAAGCTTAAAGCCCAGCCCTGCACCTCGAGACTGTGGGGTCTCGCACAGCTCAGACAACCTCTCCAGGCCCGCGCTTCCGCCCCCCAGCGCGAGGCTGGAATGGCATTGACGTCACCGGGCGGCTGTGAGGGCTGAGCGCGGACGTGCGCAGCACTCCGCGCAGCGCCTGGCCTACCACAAGCACCGCGTTGGCTGTTGGCACTGTTGCTGTGACTCAGCATCAACGCGTGCTGGAACAGTTGCCACGGCCTGTGACCATCACTCAGCAGAGGACGGTAAGTGCTCTGCGAGTCTTTTGACCAGAACTTCCTTGCAGCCTTATCACGTTTCCCCCACCTCATCCCTGTAGTCAAGTCCCGAGTGGCCCCGAATGCCTCTTCTGTCACATTTCTGCATTTTGAATCCAACGCCACATCAGTTATCCTCCTCTGCCGCCTCCTCTGTTTGTTCTCCTGGGGAGCAGGCGAGGCTGACTTTTTTTTGCATCTTAGATCCTCAGAGTGAGCTTCACTATCTGTCTTTGCTACAGCTCTTCCCAGTTTTCTTTGAAATGCTTTGTTTATTACTTTTCTTATTATCAAAGGTGCTCAACAAAAAAACAATTCAAACGGACAGAAGTTTGTAACAGAAAGCACGTGGCCCCAGTAACCCTGCATCCAGAGACAACCACTGGTCATCGCTTTGTGATGTATCTTTCCAGAGTTCCTCTAAACGTACTTTTCGGACAGAATATACAAATAAAAACGGGGCCACACTGTTCATATTGTCCTGCGACTTGCTTTTTTCACTTACAGAGTTTGGACATCCTTCCATGTCAGTACAAATAGATCTCTTATTTTTATAAAATAAGTTAAGTTTGTTTAATCAGCTCCCTACTGGGATTTTGTTACTAGGCTTTTACACCATTACGTTTCCTCTGTAACAATGTGGCAACGAGCATACTTGAACATATATTTTATACGTTTATGTAAATATCTCTGAAATACATACTTTTTGCACACATATACCCAAAGTATAAAGTCCTAGATGTGTAACTGTCAAAAAAAACACACACATTAATTTTACCCCAATTTGCCAAATTGTCCTCTAAAGGGATTTACCCAATTTGCACTCACATTTATAGTGTATGAGAATGTGTACCAGTTTCTCCACATTTGACTGTTTTTTGAGTATTACTTTTTTTCTTTTCTCAATTTATCCCAAACGTAAAATCACACTTCTCTCAAGTCTAGAATAACAGCTTTAAACACAAGGGAAGATCAAAACGTGGAACAAAATGTTTTTACAAACAGCAAAACATTTCAAATTAATTACAGGGTAGGGAGGTGTTTTCAATCAGAGTGTCACCCCACTAGATATTAACAATTTTAAAACAGCTCTCACCGCCCAGATCGGCAAACTCGGCACCGCGATCAGATCACTTGCCACACAGCTGCTGCCTACACGCCTCCTTCTTTGCTGGGTGTGGGGAGCAGGAGAGGCTGCTGCCTGGAGGGACAGGGCACAGAAAGTGAGAAAGCATGAGAAGGTCAGAGGGGCTCAAAGCCTAGTGTCGTCTTGTCAGTCGTCTAGGACGGTCCTCGGAGTGAGCTCTGGCCCTCTGTTCGCGCTCCTCCTCCTCAGGGAGGCTCTTCTTTGTTTCCGGGGCCTGATGAAAAAGTGCCCACAGCTAAGGGTCAGTTCTGCCCCCTCCTCTCTGAAGCCTTTCCTGAAGCCCTGGATAACCGCCCTCTTCACTGCCTCACGGGTCTGAGCACACACCTGAGTACCTGTAACGTTATGCGCAGCGTGCTTGTGAGAAACCAGATGTTGAGGAGATGCTGACTGAACATTCACTGACATGGAGAGATCTTGGTAGAAGAGAGATGAGGTTTCCCATTGTTCACAGAAATGGGTGGATTCCAAGTAAAGGCGATGTTGAAGTTCTGGGCTGGAACCAGCTGTCTTGATAAAAACCAACAATTCCAAACGCCTCTCCCTCCTGACGTCACTTCTTGACCTCTACTTCTCGCCACCCACGAAGAAGACTGCAAATACTCTTTGATCTTAAAGCAAAAACGAGAGGGAAAACCATCAGGTTGGAAAACACCGTTCAGTGGAGGACCTCCTTTCACCTGCCTGCTTCTGATGCAAGACATTTTTGGCAAAAAGTGAGAGGGAGAAAGGGTAGACTCAGATTAACACAAGAATCGACTCTCTAGTGTATCTTTACTAGCGGAGACAGAACCAACGAGGCTGGGAAGCTACTCGCGTCGAGAAAGTTGTATGTGCCCCAAGTCCCAGGTAAGTACGTCCTCCTTGGGGTTGGAAGCCGCTGAAATGACTTTTACAAAAATTTCCCCACCATTTCACTGCGTCCCCCTCCACGCCCGGCCTTACTGCCAGAGTTCTAATCGCTAGGACAGCCCCGGGAAGGGCGAAGGTGCCCGAAGTGG